AATAAACACTTTCTAAAACGAGGTAAATTGTTGACAAACAATTTGATGAAACAGGAACACCAGCAGACTTACGAAAAATCATCATTCCGTTAATTCTATGGTCGATACAGTGACTTTGTCAGCAAATACAATTTATCGTTGAGTCATATGCTGTCTGACGTTTTTCATACTATTTGTTAGTCCATTATTTATACACCGAATTGACGACAGATTTTTCCGTTATTTCCTGATCATGACAAGGAGCACAGGGTGGGTTTGACCAGTTGGCATGGGATGCTCACTCCTCCATGGCACCTGATCCCACCTTTGATCGATTTCGGAGGTCCGTGTTTGCTCTGCTCCTAATTTGAATTGTTTTATGGACTTTGATATTAAATACTGTTTGTTATCTCCATGTCCTTCATACATCATACGAAAAAGCAATGAATAAAAAAAAACATTTCAATGTTTCTTTAGATGTATCTGCCATTATGAAGTTTCACTTTCAATGCAATCGACACTCCACATTTCTGGAAAAAAGGGACATCAATGAAGTACAGTGTATTGCATTTCAGAAAACAAATCTTTTCAAATCATTTCAATAAAAGACAATAAATATGATAATTCCTAAAATGTTTACAGAACATCAATAATGAAATAATTTATAACGTGTAGACATAGCGATTCAGAATTCACACTAAACGAGGGACACACAGAGAGACAAAAGTGCGACAAATGCGCTTAGACTCAAAAAACAGTTTAAAAATATCAAGCTCAATATAGTGTATTGACATCCTAGTAAAAGAAATAATACAGAACAAACTTCATTGATGGTCTTAGGGAACGTTGATAATTTTTTTTATTACTTTGATTGATAATTTTTTTTATTACTTTGATTGCTCGACTTTTAAGAAATAAAGAGTCCTTGGTGTTTTTCTTAATCTTAATATTTTTTTCTTTCAGATGGCCTTTACACTACACTACAGTAAGTTGTCCGTCCGTCTAGCTGTCTGTCCACCTGTCTGTTATCATTTTTATTAAATCAATGCTACTCTAGCGACAATTTTGGTCGGATTTCAATATAACTTAGTTCACAATTAGAATACAATAGTTACATAATTTATTACATAGTTATGTTTTTGAATTCGATGAAGGTGATTTCATGGTCACCAAAAATAGAAAATTCTGTGATTTTTATTTTAAAACACCACTCTCTCAACAGTTTTTACCTTTTTGGCATACAAGTACATTCTAGGGTACACTTCGATTCAGTATTATCTTTCACATTTTAATTTTGATGTTGCTATGATTTCCAAAATCAAAGATTATGTGTTTTGTTTAGTAACTACAATTTCATTATTTTAGTCTAATATTTTGCAATTAAAAGAGAGTAAATCAGATTCTACATAATTCCGTTGCTAATTTTCATTTAAAAGTCCATTTTTAATCCCCATGTTGAAAATTCAAACCAGTGGATAGTGATATACATTCCCGTCTGGGCACGATGTACCCTCAGATGAAAACTCATTATAATAATCTATATGGCGAAATCCACCTTTCGCTCTTATTTTTTTTTATATAATTTTCAAATATTTTGCATCAGATACATGCATGTTGACAAAAAAATCAGATCTTTTTCAATCTATCAGTACATGTCTAATTGTGACTTCTATTTTTAATACACTCTTTATTAACACTTACATCTCTGACAAAACAATACTCTTATGTTTATATTCATGTTTCAGGAGGAAATAGGTGAAAAAGTGGGTTTTGATGACACACTGGTCACTTCTTTGTTGAAACTAAATCATACAGTGATAAAAGAATGTTTTTTTTAAACTTAATATATAAAAAATATTAGGCTGAAATATTCTCTACCTGTTGTTAAACAATACTTTATTCGTTAAAAATTGTTCTTTAGAGAAAAATAATGAATCTGCTTTCCTTTTTCAGACAACAGGTCAAGATGGACTAAAAATGTTCCTGATCCCGAACAGAATTCAAAGGTATTTGACAGGGATAGACAAAAATTCCCACCTTATTTAAATAATACAAAATGGGAAAAGAAAAGAATTGTACATGTATACCTTACATGTAATATAGTTTCAAATCTAATCAATGTATTCATACTGGTACTATGAAGTCATATGATACCCTCTCCCCCAAATAGTTTTCAAGAAAACGTAAGGCCTTCAAGTAGCAATTAAGATTTTGATGCAAGATTCCTTTAGCACTTTCAAAATGCTTTTAACATTATACTAAAAATGTATTTATGCCTTTTAAATAGAAAATTTTAATGTTCATTTTTCAAGTAGCTTAGCATACAATGAAGCACTCTTTACACTTCCACTGAACTATGAACGATATCATCGATATAATTAAAAACTAATGATCCGTCTGTCCTAATACTTTTATTCAATAGTTCGATCAAAATAGATCTTCAACAGATATTATCAAATGTTTGCATGTTTTAAGAGAGGCGAATAGCAAAGATTTCATATTTTCTCCCTTCTTTTACAATGTCAACATCAATAGTACGGCCTTTCAATTTATACGTCATCAGTTTGAACATGTTGAATAGATGAAATTATTTGTAGAGTTTAACAGGGTTTAGCTCAAAGTTATGTAAAAAAAATCGTAATAGATTATTAACTTTTACATTTATATTTGAGTGAAATAATATTGACTTTATCCAATGCGTCTAAATAGTGTGTATTCTCCAGATGAGCCTTGTTCATATTCATTTATCTGTTTCTGATAAAAGTCTTGAAATTTAATTGGTTAAGCGATTTAATGCTGCCTAACTTCAAGTTCATCATATTGCTAAGTTGCCCCTTCTATGATCTACCAAACAAAAAACAAACTGGATTGAAACATATCTCACAACGCCTCAGAAATACATTATTTAACATGATCCCACGTTAAGCTTCATAATTGACATCAAATATGCAGTTAATGCAGTGTGACTTGCTTCTCTAAGGGAAAGTGATAAATTACATGTAACACTATAAATATTTAGTCTTCTGGAGGACCATTGGCAGGATAAATTCCTTATGTAGACAGTTAGATTTCATGTACGTGAAATGTAAATCTCATGAATCACACGTAAATCACTTAGATAACACCCGCATACGGAGTTTAAGTATTTCAGTTGGTTTGATACGCAAGATCTTGCACTATGTATGAACGATATATAAAACGTCATAAATTATTGAATAAGAAGTTGATGAAATAAGAATTTTAGCTTATATTAGATTATTTAAAATCAATATTTCGTAATTTCTATAGTTGATACAATGACCTCGTCTGCAATTAAAATTTATCATGGATTCAAATGCTGACTAACTTTCTTATACTAATCCATTATCTATACACTGAATTCACGACGGCTTTTCGGTTACTTCCCGATCATGAAAGGGAACACACGGCCGGTGTGACCAGTCAGCAGGAGATGTTCACTGCTCCATGGCACCTGATTCTACCTCATGTTTTGAAGGTCTGAGTTTGCTCGTTTTTTGTACCGTTTTATTGACTTTTGATCTTGAATACAGTTCGTTATTTCCATATGTTTCATGAGAGGTATATATAATACTTGTCTTTAAAATGCATATTGGGCTCGGTTTACGTCTCATCCATGCACTGTGCATTTTTTTTGGTCAAAGCCCGCTTCTTACGTGCCGTATTAAGGACAGATGATACAAACAAATTTTTTCTTTGAAAAAGATTTATATCATGTAAAAGTTTAGAAAAGTGGAAAAACAATGAAAAAGACTTGGAAAAATTGAAATTATTTCAATGAAAACACAAATATAAACAAATCACATTCAGTATATATTTACAAATGAAATTTTTTTTAGAATATGTTACCTCGATGCTAAAAGTGTAAAAATAAACTTTAGAAAAATATACCAAGCCAGGTGAATTTTAAGAGGAAAATCAAAATGGCAAAAAATTTGCAAAATCACATACAGCAAAACTCGGTTAAAACGAAGTCACTGGGACCCGTGAAATAACTTCGCTATATCCGTAATTCGTTATTACCGTATAAGGAATCATTCAATTTATATAGCTGGGGATCCAAGATGACTTTGATATATCCGTAAATTTGCAATATCCGTGTTCGTACTAACCGAGATTTGCTGTAGGCTGATTTTTACCATTTAGGTTTTCCTAATAAAATTTACCTGGCTTGGTATATTTTTCTTAAGTTTATATTACACTTTTTAGCACCAATGTAATATATTCTAAAATTTATTTTCACCTGTAAACTTATACTGAATGTGATTTGTCTAGATTTGTTTTTTAATTGAAATAAAATAATAATTTCCAAGTCTTTCACATATTCCAGTTCTTAAGAGAAAAATTTATAAGAACCATCAACTTTTCTAAACTTGTGACATGATATTAAATATTTTTCAAAGAAAAAAATTGTTTGTATCATCTGTCCTTAAACCTTTGAGTATTTGCATATTTGAAAAAAAAAACACACTATTTCAGCACGTTGGATAAATCCGATATCAAACGAACAGATAGATAAGAAGAGAGATAATGAAGTACATATATTAATATTTTCAAATAAGTAAAGGAAGGAGACATACAGGGATCCAAAAATGTATATGAAATCTTTTCTATGAAGACATGACAAATAGGAGTAAGGGATTTTCTTGCTTTAAAATTGATAAGGGAATATTTTTAAGCATTAATCTAAAAAGAATAATAAATATATATTTTATAACAGAAACTTGATCTGACGGGTTGTATTACGTCGAGTTGACAGGCATGGATCGTCGAGTTTGATCTGATGATCCGTGCCTGTCAACGAGACGTCATACGGTTCTTCGGATCAATTTACTTTTATAATGATAAATTTATGATATACTTACTTATAAATAGCTGAATATAGCAAAATGTACATTTAGATCTATTGCATAATATTTATTCATAAAACAAAACCATAACAACAATGGACTATTTAACGCGCAAGAAAAATAACGTCATGTTTTTGCATACTCCGTCATCAATTTCAGGGAGTGGTGATATGGATTCAGAAAACATGTGTGGTGATCCGGAAAGTCGGATCACGGCGTCACGTGATTGCGTTATATCTACAGTAAAGTTGAGTGGTACACATTAGGTACATGAATATAATAAAAAAGCAAAACCAATTACAGTGGAGACTCAATTATCCGGACGCTTTGGTTCCCAGTCAATTTGTCCGGATATGTGAAGCGTCCTGATACCTGACTCACCAGTTAGAAAAGACATAATTACATTTTGAAATTTTATTCCGATGTAAAAGCGTCCGAATACTGAAGCATCCGGATATCTGGCGTTCAGATATCTGAAGGTCCACTGTATCACGTTTATGCTTTCGACGGTATGCTTACTCTTCCATGACACCTGATCTCACCTCTGATGCTTTGGAGGTTTTTGTTTGCTCTGCTCCTGTTTTGTATTGTTTTAATGGACTTTTGACCTTGATTACAGTTCGTTATCTCCATAATTATGTTTCATTCCTTCGATAGGACAACTTTCTAGTGCTTATTCATCACTTTTGGCTCTTTGAGTAAAATAGAGTTAAAATAAGCATTTGGTTTATGTCAAAAAAAAACACTTTATCTCCTATTTCTTACTAATCTTTTATTCTGACTATAAAAGACAAAAAATATATGAGCATTGATTGTCTTGTTTATGGACTTAAGCAGCCTTGATTGTCAAAATTAATGATAAGGTTCCCCTGTGAATAAATGACTTTTTTATGCTTCAACATTGCATATACTGTTAAAATATATACAGTTTCATTTGCAAGGAAAGTGTTAATTTTTTATACCCCTGATCCAAAGGATAGGGGAAGTATTGTTTTACTCTTGTGTGTCTGTGTTCGTTCTTTAGTTACCAAAATTTTTGATACAGCAACTACAGTATACTAATCAAACATGCTTCAAATTTTAGCAAACTCTTTGTTGAGGCACGTCATAACGTGGGATTTTTTTTTGTACGAGTATGATATTAACTTTCTCTTTATCTAGGCATCTCATGAAACAATACATATCATTTTTTAGCGCAGATTTTCAGTAATTACCCATTGCAGATGCTTGATTTTTTTTTTAGGAAATTCTTTGCTGAAGCATGCCAGATGGAAGTATTCATTTTTTGTTCCACTACGACATACTGTGGAATCATTTTTATTCGTGGGGGTCAATGTTCGTGGGTAACCAAAAATTTTCTGGTTCGTTGATAACAAGGTCTATTTCGTAATTTAACTTTTAATGAATAATAAAACAAATGTCTAAACGTTTGCGGGGATGTAAAATCGTGGGTCAGGATTACCCACGAAAGCCACGAACATTGGTCTCCCACGAACAATTATGATTCCACAGTAAACTTTCTGTTTATCTGTTCGCCTGGCCGTACCACACATAAAACAATTTTTTCAGCAATTTCTCTTCACTGATTCTTGAAATTTTAACCGGAGGGGACTATAGGTTTCCTCTGCGTCTGTTCGTCCGTCTGTCTATCATTCCGTCCATTTGTCTAGCTTTCTGTCAGTCCGTCCCACTTGTTTTTCAGCATTGTTTTTTCTAAACGTTTGCAGATATTGAGGTGAAGTATGGTATGTGAGTATAAGTTACAGATCAAGATTGAATATCGTATACCTGCATTGACTTTTGGCAGAATTTTGGCATTTTGAATTTTTCATATACCCTTAATTAAGATCGAGTTTGTGCTGCGCTAACTTTCGATGGTTGACATAAATATGCACTGATGAAGCGAGAAAAAAACGTTGGAAAAATGAGTTGAATTTTGTCTTAATGTGGCTTATTTCATTAGGTTAAAGGCATTCACAACCTCAAAATCAAGCAGTTGTACCTCGGCAGAACTTTTGTATATTATGCAAGAGGCCCAGGGGCCAAATCGCTCATCTGAGCACATAGGCTAAGAAAAAGCACAGATCAGGTCAGAACTGAAAAGTACTGAGGTAGGGGTGATGGTGTCCTACCATTCCTACCCCAAAGGACCATGATTTGAACAAATTTAAATCTTCAATATATGAAAATGCTTACATGTCAATATGATACCATTCCTACCCCAAAGGACCATGATTTGAACAAATTTAAATCTTCAATATATGAAAATGCTTACATGTCAATATGACTAAACAAGTTTTTCTGTTCTTGGGATCTTTCCTTTTTTTCTATGTAAAACTTAGATTGACCTTTGTGGCCCAAACCTATCCTTTGGAAAGGTGTTATGATTTGAACAAACTTAAATCTACACTAAGGAAGACGATTCCACATTGATATCACTGATCATGGCTTTGAAGTACTTGAGAAGAAGATTTAAGAAGATTTCCATATATACTCCTATGTAAAACTTTCATCAGCCTTTGTGGCCACGCCCTACCCCCAGGGGTCATGATTTGAACAAATTTCAATCTACACTACCTGAGGATAATTCTACATGAATTTCATTTTTCCTGGCCCAGTGGTTCTCCAGAAGATTTTTTTTATTCCAATAATTTTTCAATAATTCGTAATTTTCTTCCCTTAAAACGAGCATCGTCCTTCATTTGAACAAATTTGAATCCCCTTAATCCAAGGATACTTAGTAACAAGTTTGTTTGGAATTGATCTAGTGGTTTTTGAGAAGAAGATGAAAATTGAAAAGTTTACGACGAAAACGACAACCACGACAACAACAACGACAGACAACGGGCAATTAAAATTTTGATCAGAAAAGCTCATTTGTGCCTTCGGCTCAGGTGATAAAAAAAATGAAATCCTGGAGAAAAAAGGGGAACCCGCTTGGGGACATGTATTGCTTATGCAATACGCTCAGATTGCTTCTTTTTATATGAATCTGATGTCGCCTTCCTAATTATCCGTGCATTTGCCCGTAACTCAACCTGACGTGTGCATATATACATGAATGTGTACATATACATCAGAGCGGGGTATTACTAGTGAGCATTTCCTCACAGATGTCTTTCCAATTTTTTTGTCGTTATCACTAAAGATGATGAACCGGCGAGCATGTTTTTTTTTTTATCTTGTCATGATCTTTTTTGCTTTATTTTACCAAAAATGCTCAATTGTTCACCAGGGTCTTATAATAACTACCATTTCCTTGCCTGATAAATTTTTGTCATGACATTGTTATTTGCACATACATTTTCACCGTTGAGCAAATTTCTATTTATGTTACAATTGTATAGGGTCATGTTCTATTAAAATGATTTAGATAAAATATAATGATTTGTGTATCAAGAAATTCAATTGCCTTACTGGATAAATTTCATTGAAACAAATTGTTATTTTGATTGATCATAACATGAAAATAAATAAGTGCGAAGAGCACATTTGTTTGATGATTATGAAATGGATATAAAATTTCAAACGTTCGTATTAAAGTACAATAATTAATCAAAATGTCCACTTGGACACCAAAACGTGAATCTTTCAACATATATTATCAGTATGGCGATAATATATTTGATTTTAGAACGAATCTGGGAATGTTTTTGATGTGAATGGCATATCAGAGTGTATTGAAGATGATGATTTTGATGAAAACTCAATGTCCAGCGCCGAAGAGTTTGAGGATACTCTAATAAAGAATCCAGATCGCAAAAAGAAAGGTAAGATACTATGAGGTACATGTACTTTTTTTAGTCCATAGCTTTAAATTTGTTAGGAAATTTTAATTTTTATTTTCATATTTGTTACTACAGATTTTTAGCCTTTCAAAATTTTGTTTTCGAAAAATTCATGACATTATTTATTTCATAGCAAAACATAAATACAGACGACGAAGAAGACTGAAGAAATCGGCTGCCCGGTGTACCAAAACGATTAACAAGAAATGGGAATTTTTCTGATACATAGTATTATTTTTGCTGGTAAGCCACATTTTCTTCATTAAGTTTTTTAACTTTAATTTTACGTTAATGAATAGAAATAAAACATTCATAATACAATTATTATACACTTACCAGTATGCAATTATTACCAAAGTCGTATATTAACGCAGATATTTCACCAACTATTAATTTTTCTGAATAATTCCCGAAAAAAAATTGTATGTTCACCGTACTTCTAGAGTCATGAATTTAAAGTAAAAAATATATATATATATCATATACTCTCAGAATTTTAACCTTTGAATTTCGATTTGTATCGCGAAACAGAGCAGTCTTCATCAGTGCACAAAACAGTATATTTCCTGACGATAGAATTAGAATTATAGTACCCCCTCCCCCTCTTTGTTAATATTTATCCCTGAATGGGGCAAACGTATGCCTTTAAAAATCCTCAGAATATATGCTGGTTGGTGCAAGTTGGATAAAGTAATTTATTTGGCGGCCGCCATATACTGAAAAATCACATATTTTCGTGGTGACAAATTTTCGTGGTTTGAGGAAAAAAATGTTTGTTCATAAGATTTGAATTCATGGATGAAGAACTTTTTAGTAGTTGTACATATGAATATTTGCATTTCGTGGTCGACATAAATTTTTGGGTTTCTTCATACCACAAAAGCAACGAAAATTAAACCCCCACGAAAATAAGTGATATCACAGTAATATATCTTCCCACCGCCAGAACTATTTTTTGCAGCCGCCCGATGAAATATTTTCCTTCCCGCCAGCTACCGGATTGCGTAGATTCTAAACTTGTTCTGTCTGGAAAACCCATTTTAAGAAATAAAAATATATGAAATATTTTCATTTCTATAGATTTCTACAATAGCCTAAAGCGAGGATTTCTTCAAACTCATTTGACATACGGACCATTGTGTTTGTGGCTTTTGATATTTGTACAGGTATAAATGTTTGTGAGCATTTAATATGTATTTGTGTCTATTCTGTATTAAAATGCGATGTATTTTTTTACTCTGAGGTCCTTACCTCGATGCAATTGCTTAGGCGAAAAGGCTAATGCAAAAAAGCATGTTGTTAGTACGGACATTTTTTTTTCTGAGAATAAAGGGAAATATAGATCTATTAGGTAAAAACCAAAAAGAGGATCATTAATTCCACTTTTAAAAAAGAGTTTTGCAAATGAACTTGTCAACTATTTGCTTAATTACAAAGATTCCTAGTATACAGTCAAGTATTGTTTCATGTATATCAAAAAGATAAAATATGGGACTTAGAATTGGTAGTTATTTTGATTTTTGATGGATTGTTATCTGCGTAACAAGTGCAAATAGAACAAAAAACATATTTTCACGCTGTTTATCCGGGCATGAAAGATACAAAAGGAAGAAAATTCAATACGCTAACTTTCTTAAAAGTTTACCACTGAGGACTTCCTGTAACTTATCAGAAAACTAATATTGAGCAAATCAGTACTGAGTGTATTATTTCTAACTAGAAATTAATATAATTATATCTCATTTCATGTTAATATTATTTATAGGTTTGAAAGTAAATAGAGTCATTTTAAGTAAAACCAAAATGTTTTAAGGAGACATTTTTGTATAGGTATCTACGGCAAATGGAGGTCAAGTATGTGTACCACGTTATTGTCATGAATCAATGGAAACAATTCGAATGGTCCAAGAATGTCCATCAAATGCACATGAATTTGACCGAAAGACGTGCAAAGTGTGCTGATGTTATGCAAAATTGCACTAATCCAGCAAAGTTTAAAGTATCACTGCGTTCTTGATTCAAAAGGACAATTAATAGAAGTCTGTGCAGTGGAATTCAGCAGCATAAACGGTACAATTTAATTTATTGTGATTCTTATTCAAAAATATTTAAATAAAAGTATGGTAAAAGTTTTTATTTTTTATCTGCTATGACAAACAGTGACTGCTTACACACAGTCAAATATGTTTTCTAGTATGTAATAATTAATAACAGAAGAGATATACTTAAGCTTCAAATGTTAATACACCTGCATTGCTGTAGAATTATGATCTTTGTCAAACGCTTTAACTGAATGTGGGGGATTTTCAATATTAATTGGATGTGTTGCATGTACGTCTGATGGTCTGTCCACGTATGCGCCATTCTTTTTTCTTTCCGCAAAATATCGTTAGAAGCCTCTGAGCTTTTGAAATTTTACGAGAAAAAACACCCTGCAGCATACGGATAACCCAGTAGTCAAGGTCTTACATTCGTACATTTTGCTTGTGTGCAAAACTTCCATTTTCGAGCGATAGAACGAGAGCCGTAGGAGATTTTGCAATAGTTATCTTTATACAAAGAACTAAAGGACTTACTCACCTGCCCCTCTTAAAATTTCCTTCTCTTTACATCCCTTCATTTTCTTTTCAGCTCTTCTGAGCCAAAGGCTCAAAGAGCTAATGCTATGGCCATTTATGCGGTGTGCAATGTGCATTAACGTTTTAGAATATGTGCCATTACTCAAGAACCCCTTGGCCAATCAGTACCAAATTTGTCAACGGGTATACTTGGCCCAAGGACTACCATTTATACTAAATAAGGGTTGGGACCCTTAAACAAGGAGAGATAATCAGGAAAACAAAACCAAAAGTACTGGTTGCTAAAATTTCTTCTTCTCCATAACCAACGTGCAGATTTTCACCAAACTTACAAACAAGAATCAGGATATGACGAAGATAAAATTTGCACGTGGAAAGGGCGTGGCCTCAAGGTCACTTCAAAGTTGACCTAAATTTACAATTTATTAAAAACGTCTATATTTTGCGTACTATAAGAATTAGGATCATCAAATCTTGTAAGTTGATGCATCTTATGATTTCACATCATGTTAACTCAAAAGTAGGTCACGGTGACCTAATTTTTAAATTTTGCAGGGATTTGTTTTCAAATTGATTTGAAGGCATATTTTGGGCACCTTAAGGCCTATGATCATCAAACTTTGTCAGTTGATACATCTTGGGTCCTCAAATAATGTCAACTTAAAATTAGGTCACCTTGACATATTTTTTGAACTTGATGACTTATCTTTTTAAAAAAAATTAAATCCTATTATTTCAGACACTGGGAGGTTTAAAATAATCAAATTTTGTACTTTGATGCATCTTGAGACCTTAAATCATATATATGAAAAAGAAGGTCATTGTGACCTATTTTTTTTAATTTTGCCGACACTTGTATTCAAATTGTTTAAAATGCATATTTTGATTACTTTCAGACCTTCGATCATCAAACTTTGTCAGTAGATGCATCTTGGGTCTTTTAAAATTGTTAACCAAAAAGTAGGTCACGATGACCTACTTTTGACATTTTATGGCTATATATAAGTATCATAGGTATTTATTGGCTTTGAATCATCAAACTTAGTGAGTTGATGCATATTTGGTTTTCGGAGATTGACGACCAAAAAGTAGGTCACGATGACCTACTTTTGACATTTTATGGCTTTATTCAAATATCTCCGGTACTTATTGGCTTAGAATCATCAAACTTTGTCAGTTGAAGCATCTTGGGTTTTCGGAGAGTGGCGACAAAAAGACGGTCACAGTGACCTTATTTTGACATTTTGTGGCTATATTTAAGTATCTCAGGCACTTATTGGCTAACAATCATCAACCTTTGTCATTTTAGTCATCTTGGGTTTTCGGAGAATGTCGACCAAAAAGTAGGTCACGGTGACCTACTTTTGAATATCTCAGGTACATGTATGTATTATCTTAGAATAATCAAAATTTGTCAGTTTAGGCACCTTGGGTTTTCAGAGAACATCGACCAAAAAGTAGGTCACTGTGACCTACTTTTGACATTTTATAACTAAATATAATTATATCTGTTACTTATTGGCTCGGAATCATCAAACTATGTCAGTTGAGGCATCTTGGGGTTTCATTGAATGAACTACTTTTAAAAATCTAAGGTACGTTTTGGCTTAGATTCATCAAATTTTGTTAGTTTAGGTATCTTAAGTTTTTGGATAACTTCGACCAAAAATTAGGTCATCGGGACCCTTGTTTGACATTTGATGGCTATATCTAATTATCTCTAATACTAATTGGCTTAGAAATGTCAAACATTGTCAATTGATGCATTCTGGGTTTTCAAGAATGTTATCAAAAAGTAGGTAATGGTGACCTACTTTTGAATATCTCCGGTACTTATTTAATGAGAATCATCAGTCTTTGACAATTAATGTATCTTGAGTCCTCATAAAATTTCAGTCAAAAGGTAGGTCACAGCTACCTACTTCTGGTATTTTATAATTATATTATATTATCTTCAGTCTTAACTGGATAAATATTATCAAACTTTGTAAGTTGATGCATTTTGGGTCTTATGATACAAATAGAGCTTGAGGCTTCTACTGGAAGGTGATAGATATTTCAATTGATCAGAAGAGCGATTCAAGCCCCGTGGGCCCCGGGGTTCTTGTTTCCTATTAAGGGGACACATTCAGTGAATAACTTTGAAATATTAGTCTTTGGTCATTATTGCTGTAGATCTTGTAATGCAGATAAAGAGCAATTTCAGGCGTAAGGTTTTCGGTTGATTGGTCTGTGGAGACGACATCAAAGGATGAAAATATGGATAAAACATAAAGAAAGCAGAATATGTTTAACTAGGAATTGTACTTGATTGAACAATTCTGGAAAGTGTAGAAAATTGCCTCAAAATGCGATAATTTTTTTTGCCTTTAATTGCACCTTGTATAATTATTTGCATAAGGGATCTGTAGCATTGAAGACTGAAAATAAAACTAAAATTTAAATTCTACAGTTCTGCAGCTACATGTATGTTAAATATACTTGTATGCTAGCTCTATTTCAGCACTTTCCATAACTTAATCTACTTGAATTATACCATTTCCCGCGGGACACAGTTTAATCCGTTTAATACCCATATCATCCTCCTCAATATACAGAGTAAAACAAATTGGCATATTTTTATAATTATAGCTATACAGTACATAAAAAGGCCATCATGTTTAA